AGGGAAGTTAAGGAAGCTAGCATTTGTGAGACCCTAGTGAGTGTTTCCCAATCTTGGCTCAGTGTTGCTTCTTCTGTAAGTCACTTTTAGGCAGCAGGGCTGCCTAGACACCTGTCCAACCATAGGCTTGAGAACCTTGACCTTTTGTTCTAGGCCTTGTGCTACACGCTTTACATAGGTTTCATTCTGTATGCACAACGTTCCCCATTTTAAAGATTAAGAAGCTGAGCCTGAGCGTTTCTGTATCTATAAATGATGGGACTACATTTGAACACAGCTCTCTCTGACATTATGGGTTGTATTTTTCCCACTTTATTATGCTGCTTCTTCAAGTTAAAATGCTTTCAAAATAAGTTGTATTAGTGTCTGACACCCATGTTCAGCATTCTCCATTCTCATTTTTGAAGAGCTAGTCATACTGTTCACATAGGTGGGAACACTGCCTGTATGGCTGGGTTGACCAGTCTTCTTAGGTTAGGGCAAATGCTGGTTCCGTCCTAGAGGCAGGGAAAAGGGAAAAGTCTATGTCCTATATCACCTAGATTTGGGGAAGAGAGGTGTAGGGGCAGTTGATATTCATCCCAAGAGGGCATTGGTATCAAGGTGGGTAATGTGCATGGGGAGGGAAAGATGTGGGGTTGAGAGTCCTGTGTAGGTTGTGTTCTTACTTCCGTGTCCATCGTCCATCAGGGGATGCCATGGGAGAGGATAGGAAGACATCAGAGCAGAGTCTTTTTGTTTATTTATTCCATAAAGGAGTGGTGGACTTTAGTCTATCTAAAACTTTTTTAATGGTGGTGGGTTTTTTTTGTTTTGCAAAGAATTATGACCTTAAGCTTTACTGTCTGCTCACTTCTACCACTAGTACCATCAACTGGACCTTTTGTTGTATCATTTGTTTCACATAAGAAAATTTTACGTAACTTCTTAGGTGTTTCTGTATGTATGGCTGTGAGTAAAGAAAACCAAACTGTGTGGTGATAGAGAAATGGGGCCATTGCTTGGTCCACTGACTAGCTCAATGACTTGATTGCTCAGCTTTACAACATGTGCAATTAAAATTCACATCTAAGAAAAATTAGAATTATTATATGTCACAAGCATGTAGGGTTACTCACGAGTTAAAGACACAAATATTAAATACATATTAACCTAAAGCCTGCTCTAGAAAGACTAACTGCAAGTATCTCTTGATGTAAAAAATAATAGATGAAGTGAATGTAGCAAAATAATGACATTTGTCAAATCTAGTGATGAGTATAGGTGGTTATTATACTGTTCTTTGTACTTTTTTATATACTTAAAAAGTTTTTCATTATAAAAAATACACTTGGAAGAAAGATGCAGTGCTTATTATCAAGACCTCTAAATTTTAAAGTATACTAATTTCAACTTCTTGATTCAAAAGATTTATTTAAATTCATATAATTTTCAAATATTTTAGTTCTGGTGGTCTTTTCAGTCTAGTAATTTAGAAAACTTTGTTCAATTGCTCTTGCCACAGATTTGCCTTATTACTAATATTTTGTTTATTGTTTATTGTTTGTTGAGCTTTTTACATTCTCTGAGACTGTTTCAAGCATTACCTTTTGAAATTAGAGAAATACTAATAATACTGAGTCATAGAATTGCTTCCCACTTGTCCACCCACTACTTCTGTAAGTTTTAATAATTCTTTCTTTCCTTCATCTTCTTTATTTTTATTAAAAGCAACCAGCAATTACTGTTTAGTTTGTAACTGTCATTTGGGTGGGAAAAGTACAGCGGACTCATGCTTGCATATCTGATAGATAAATTTCATGAATTTTATGTATAATGTTTCATTGTAATCACCCTGGTATTGTGCTTTATGCATATGTACTATTATATATTTCACATATAAAATGTCTGAATACCAGTTGCTGTCAAGTCATTTCTGACTCATGGAGACCCTGTGTGTGTCAGGGTAGAACTGTGCACCATAGGGTTTTCAATGGCTGATTTTTCAGAAATAGATCACCAGGCCTTTCTTCCGAGGTACCTCTGGGTGGCCCCGAACCTCCAACCTTGCACTACTCAGGGACTTCAAATACTGTGTATAGATAGGTAAGAACTATACAATCAAGGAGTTACTATTATAAACATAGGTGTTTAAAATTCTGATGTGAGGAATTTTCCTGTGGACCCATTTGATGCCAACCTTGGACCCTCTTCAGTAGAGTTAAGGGTCCTGTGCGGACTTGACTTAGTGAGGGTGGAAGGGACTGCTTCTAGACATATTTTTATTAGGGTCTGTTTGACCTACAGAGATGACATATAATTTGAATTCTGACATACCAGACTTCTTCTTGGTGTGTGCCATCGAGTCAACTCCGACTCACAGCAACCCTATAGGACAGAGTAGAACTGCCCCATAGGATTTCCAAGGCTGTAATCTTTACAAAAGCAGACTGCTACATTTTTCCCTGGCTGGTGGGTTTGAACCACTAACCTTTTGGTTAGCAGCTGAGCAGTTAACCACTATGCCACCAGGGCTTCTTCATAGAAAATCCCATAGGGCAGGTCTACTCTGTTATATAGGGTTGCTATGAGTCGGAATCGACTCCATGGCATACTACAACAACAAAAACAACAACTTAGTAGCAAAACTGGAGCATGCAAGTTTTGTTTCCATCCTTTCCTCCATGGTTGGCTTATTTCATATTTACCTTTACAGAGAGGGTGTAGCCCATTGGTGACCCAGTTTTATGTGGGAATTTCTTCTTAAACTGCCCATCTTGGGCATTTTCCCCATTTCTCAATAGCACATAAAATACTGGAGCCATCTTACAATTAGTGATGCTTTAGATTTAATGAAATCAAGCTTACCTTAAAGAGTCACTGACAGCGAAAATGAAGCTTCGTGCATGGCAGATAGTGAGCATTCAATATATGTTAGCTGTTGTTTCATACTGTCTTTGTTATCTAGTGCTGCTATAGCAGAAATACCACAAGTGGATGGCTTTAGCAAACAGAAATTTACCCTCTCACAGCTAGGTAGGCTAGAAGTCCGAATTCAGGGTGCCAGCTCTAGTGGAAGGCTTTCTCTTTCTGTCAACTCTGGGGAAAGGTCCTTGTCCCTTTCAACATCTGTGGGCCCAGCTTTCCTTGGAAATCTCCATGTGTCTTGGCATCAGTCTTCCCCTGGGTCTAGGAGGTTCTCAGTCCAGGGACCCCAGGTCGAAAGGACGTGCTCTGTTCCTGGCTCTTCTATCTTGGTGGTAGTAAATCCCTCTCTCTCTGCTTGCTTCTCTCTCCTTTTATCTCTTGTAAGGTAAAATATGATGCAGGCCACACCCCCAGGGAAACTCTAGATTAGGACTGATTTGAGTAAGGGTATTGCATCCCACCTTTATCCTCTTTAATTTAAACTAATCTTGCCTGATTAACCACAGGCAGAGTTTAGGTTTTACAACACATAGAATAATTACATCAGATCACAAAATGGAGGACAGCCACACAATACTGGGAATCATGGCCTAGCCAAGTTGACACATATGTTTGGGGGACACAATTCAATCCACGACACATACCTTTGTTGCACTGGTTCTGATCTGCCCTATGCTGTTCTACTTGTTTGTGTGCATCTCTTCCACTCTGCTGTGAACTCCTCCCAAACAGGTTTTTTGTCTTTGGATTTCTCCCAATGTCCTCAGAACCTAGTGTCACTTAGTAAATTTGCTGAACAAGTAAATTGAATTGAGTGAGTGAAAATGAGTTCTAACCTGATCTTTGTTTTTAGCTAGCTTTCTGACCATAAGTAAGTTTGGGGGACACAGTTCAATCCATGACACCCCCCAAGGTGTTAGTTTCTTTATCTTTAAAAAAACAGATTGAACTCTTAATCTTTAAAGTCCCTTTCACCTCTAAAATTTTATTTTTAAATGAAGTTCTGCTTTTAGATTTACAGAGAAGTTCCAACAATAGCGCAGAAATCTCTTCACCCAGTCTTTCCTAATGTTGACAGCTTGCATTACCTTACATTTGTCAAAACTAATGTCTTTTTTCTCTTCCAGGATCCAATCTAGGATACCACATTGCATTTAGTAAAATTTGATTTTAAGATTATGATGTTATACTACTTTATGTATGTTTAGAGTTTTGAACATAATAGAAAATATTGTTTATTAAAACTGTAAACATATGGTATGATTCACTTAGTATATTTTAATTCTAGGTTTCCATGGCACATGGAATACAAAATTTGATTAATGCCATCAGGATGATTCACAGTGTTTCAAGGTATTATAACACCTCAGAGAGAATGACCTCACTGTTTATCAAGGTAGGTTTTCAAGGGAAGAAATCACACTTGTAAGCCTGTGAAAAAATGAACAATTCTTTCCCTCTGAGCTAGGGAAGGGACCTGGGAAGTACGGGTCTTCTGAGACTTCTGAATTTTAATACTTCCAACATACAAGAAAAGAATGGTGTTGAGTGGAGTCAGTTTTAATTAATTATAGTGGTAATTGGCACCTTTCTCCTTACCAGAGGAAAGCCCCAAGACTTCTTGTTTAAATGTAGCTGGTGGTTTTCTAATTTATTCATTACAAATAGTTTGGATTCCACTAGGAGATAAGGATTATCTCCATGATTAACAATGCTTCTCTAGCTACTCTCACCAGAACTGTAGTTTGTGCAGATTCTTCCTGGATTTGCCATATGGTTAATTATTTTAAATCATTTAAAAAATTACCCAAGAAATACATGAATATATTTTGTTTGTAAATGATTCAAGCAGTACATAAATATATGGATTAATAGTCACATTTCAATTCTTTAAAAAAAATCAAAGTATAGATTTAATTAGTATCTATGTCCTACTCATTGCCATCAAATCGATTCCATCTCATAGCAACCCTATAGGACAGAGTAGAACTGCTCCATAGAGTTTCCAAAGAGCAGCTGGTAGATTTGAATTGCCGAACTTTTGGTTAGCAGCTGAGGTCTTAAGCACTGCATCACCAGGGCTCCAGTGTGTTATCTTAAACAAGACAAAAGCTCAGGATTCTTTTCCTTCACTTTTCTGCCTCCTTCTTGCTATGTAAGTCCCACATTGAGATTGTTTTTAGTTCCATCTTATTCTCAACATTTTTCAACATTAGGAATCAACCTGTATTCAGACTTGAGTCTAGGTATTGCTAGTTTCTTTGGTCACCACTCTTTTGTGATTTCTGTATCTTTCTCCCTCGTGGACTCACTATTTATTTTGCTGAAAAAAAATTCTCGAGGATTTTTTTTCAGACAGGGTCTTTTCGTGGTGAACTTCCTAAATTCTAGCATGTCTGAATAGCTTTATTTTGTCCTCCCACTTAAATGTTAGTTTGACTGGGCTTCTAAGTTCAAAATATTTTTCTCCTGAAATTTTAAAGATATTGCTCAATCGTAGTTGTCTACTATCCGTTATTGTTGCTTAGGAGTTTTAGTGCTAATCTCATTATTTTTCTTTTGTAGGTAACCTGTTTTATTCTCCCAGGAAGCTTTTAGGATTTTCTCTTTATCCTTGAAGTTCTAAAATTTCAAAGTGATGTGGGTCTTTTTATATATATTTTGTTCTATAATTGCTGGGCTGTTTCAATCGAAAGACTTCTGTCTCTCTTCATTCCTGGGAAATTTCCCAGTCTTTGCTTTTGATTATTCCTTATCCATTCTGTTCAATTTATTCTCTCCTCCTTGATCTAACTTCCATTTTTCTCTCTTTTTAATATTCATTTATTTTGGTGAAAATATACACAGCAAAGGAAACAGCATTTTAACAAATTCAACAGTGACATTGTTTATATTTTTCAAGTTGTCTAAGTGTTCTCGTTATCCTAACATAAACGTACTGTCCCCTAAGCTTCTCATCTAACCTTCCGAGATGCTCTTATCAATTTGATCCCACGTAGGTAAATCTTTACTTCCATTTCTCGTAATAATTTTTTTTTTCTTCCGTCTTTGCCTTTTGGCCTTTGAGCTCATTCATTTGCTCTTCATCTGTGTCCCATTTACCGGTCAGTTTATCAACAGATTTTTTTTTTTTATTTTGACAATTAAAATTTTAATATCCAAGTTCCCTAGTTTTTCTCCTTTCATGGATATAAAATCATTTCATAGCTTTTTAATGGATTAATTAAGTTAATAAAGGATATTAAAAATATTTTACATATTATCTTTTGATTGCCTTCTCATTGTTGAGTTTGATGCCTCTGTTATTTTGTTTGTTTTTTCTAATTCTTGGTTGTCTGCCCATCTTTGTATTTGAAGCTCCTAACTTACCTTCCTGTTCTGTTTATTGTAGTCTCTCTGTTGTCAGGAAAGGGGTGACTTACTACTGGGAGGGGAATGCTGCTAATGTCTTTCTGGGCTACAGAAGCTATCTAAGGCATCGCCACACCTCTCCAAGACAGTCGTCCACACATACAGCTTTGTCCTTTAGCAAATGTTGCTTTTGTTGCCTGTTTCATAAATTGCTTCAAATTCAGTGTACCCCCTGAAGTTGAGGGTCACCTCACTTTGTCTCTGACCTTGACAATTCCCCAGAACTGTTCTACCTCCACAGTAGCCTTCTCCAGAACTGGGTTCTCTAGTTGTTTTTTCTGTAGATCTTAATCCTGTGTGCTTTGTATATTTTAGGAATCCCTCCCAATTTCTGTGTGTCAGCCTACCCTCCTGATCTAATCTTCTGATCATTTCTAAATAGCTATCCTGTTTTGTCTTAACTATTTTGAGGGGTGTGAGAGATGGTTTTAAGTTCATATTTAGTCTTCATGTTGAAGAATGATGAAGTATCACACTTGGACTGGATCAAGCCCTAATTAGGAATAGATAAATGGAAACATAGTTGACTTTAAAATTGATGGCCTCTGTGACATTGACTTAAATCCATTAGGTAAATGTGACTTTGGGTTGACACCTTGGAAGAAAGCCCTGGTGATCTCCTTCTGAAAAATCAGCCACTGAAAACCCTGTGGAGCACAGTTCTACTCTGACGCATATGGGGCCGCCATGAGTTAGAGTCAACTCAACAGCAAGTGATTTTTATTGTTTTGACTGGAATGTGTATTTCTTTGTTTTTATATTCCATAATTACTTCATTCTATAAATTTACTGTCTACCGTATTTTTATGCCTGTGATTAAAAAAAATTAAATAAAATTTATTTTTCTTTTACTTGTAGTTATTTTGTACCTGTAATTTATTTTAGGTCACAAATCAAATGGTGACAGCATGTAAAGCATATATTACTGATGGAGGAATAAGCCATGTATGGGATCAGGAAACACCAGTTGTACTAAAGAAAATTCAGGTTTGTATAAAGAAAACTTTCACTGTCTGGCCTAATTTTGTTTTCTTCAATCATTTACAAAGCACATGTTAACTTTGAAATAAACATTGTACAGAGTAATGTGAGAATATAAGAAGAACTTTATTAAAAGTTGGTTTCCATTTATATTTAGTGCTCCTTTTAGGAAGTAATTTAATCCTCATTTTCTCCATGACTGCCTATATTAGACATCTCTTGTGTGCCATTTCATGTACTGTGGGTCCCACCTCTTATTCCAGATACTGTTAATTTTATTTGCTTACTTTTTTACGTTGGATAGGACTGCCATCCATTGTTAAATAGAAGTGGTGCTACTGGCATCCTGATTTTGATCCTATTTTGAAAGAGAATGTTTCTAACATTTCCCCCATTTAGTCTGATGCTTTGATAGGTTTAATATATATCTTTGATCAGATTAAGGGAGTTCTATTCCTAGTTTTGGGGCCCTGGTGGTGAAGTGGTTAAGAGCGCAGCTGCTAACCAAAAGGCCAGCAGTTCGAATCCACCAGCTGCTCCTTGGGAA